CCTTAGATATCAGTTGAGTATTGGGATTACCAACGTACAATTGAGTGTACCCGAATTGGCGAGCGAAGCGACAAGGCAAGTAAGGCTCCAACATGCACACTGGGCCGAAATGATAAATATGATACCCAGGGCGAATGGTCATAAGCCACATGAAGCAGCCAAGTGATAGAAAAGAATAGCCCCGACCATTGGATGCATCCACAAGGGCCTGTCCGTAACTGGTTCCGGGGAAATGAGGAAAGCATCGATTGAATTCCCATATCTTGTGGTCGCGGAGAATGCGCCTCACCAAGGCCAAGTAATGGTGCTCCCAGTCTAGATTCTCCAACCTTTGAATGAAGGGAATGATTTCACCCTCTGTACGAGTGGAAGGCATACCCATAAGGGTTGGACAATGCAGAACAACCGATGCCATGAAATAAGTGTATGACAAGCCAACCTTTGGATTCTCGTTGCCACGACAGAATTGGTAATATAAACTCCACAATCCACAGTGGATACGAGCAATCCTGGCAGGAAGAAGGGCATAAGAGCGGCCGTGAGCCAAACATATAGCCGGGAACACCACTTCCATTGGCAGCAAGTCGAAAATTCCAGAAACAACAACGACTTGATGAAGCCATAGCATGAGATACCCTTCCAGCAAAGCCTTGGAAGAAATAGGCTCTCCACCTTGAAAGAGATAACTCTCAAAGGTGGTACCAACCGGGTAACCTTGTTCATCCGATTCTGACATGCGATGCACGGGCGGATTATTGAGTACTCGTCGTGACAATTCACTCGCGTCACAAGGACCAAAGAGCACCACAAAATCATTTTTATGCTCCAAATTTTTGAAGAGATATCGGGGCCAGATGTTATGGCTGAGGAGTTTCTCACCCTTCTTATTGAGCCGTCCTTCCACATTCATACAAATATGATAATAACACATTAACTCCCAGAAGGTCTCTACTACTTGGGGTTGCTCATTCTCTAGAGAAACTAATTCTCGTTGACCTGGGATATACTCCTCATACGGATAATCCCCGTTTGGCAGCCCGGAGACTTCTTCCATCTCGTGAAGAGCAATCCCTATCTCTCCATTAGGAGTAAAGAAAGTACAGATTGTAGGGTTATACAGCTCCAAAATACCAAAGAACTGGTGGGAGTTATTGATTAACCTGAATTGTGTCGCCCTGATAGGCGCATAAAGACCAAACTTTTGCAGGTCTTCTTGGTTCTCCTACAAAATGTATTCGGTGATACAAGGCCACCATTGTGTAGGACTCCAATGAGACCAGCCTGGAGTTCTAAAGTCCTTGACAGGGAATTGACCGTTTCTCCTAAAGAACGCACGAGCAAAAGTGTTAGCCTCCTCAGCAGTCTCACCAATAGGGAGTTCTTTTTGAAAAAGCCCAGGATGTAATCCGGTGATGTAACGTCCACCACTATCTATCTTTGCGCCGTTACGAGAAAAGTGGCCACATATGACCCCATCTTGTACTGGGGTTAAATCCCAGTCCATTCTTCTGGGAGCCGAGACAATCTTCAAAGCAGTAAGAGAGACGTCACGCTCCATCCGAGGCAAGAACAAATTTTGCCCATTTACAATTCTAAACCATTCGTAAGTCCCGATATCCAACAAGTCAGGATCCTCTGAAGAGTCTCCAAATAAGAGAACAGGCTTCACAATAGGTTCATGATTAATAGACTCCAACGGAGCATCAGTGATCATACGCCTAAACGTGGAAACTGAAGGTTCAGAGAGGGGATCAACTTCTTCTGGCCCTCGTTCTCCGAACAAAGGGATACTCTCAAGTGCAGAGTAATGAGGATGAATTGTAGTCGTCTGAGTACCATCCACTCCGAGATCACCACGTTGGGGAAGTGGAGTAGAAGGATATACGACTGCACAAAAAGACAAACAAGATTAGTCTCGAGCAACAGTCATGGCCAAATAACACGAAGGTCATTCCGGCAACGAACGTCGAAATTCGTTCGAATGATGAACCTCATGTTATAACAAAATATTAAACTTTGTTGGCTGAGCAAGCTCATTCAACCTCGATAGGGATAACGAGGTTCATCAGTTCAGCGAGGTTCATTGGAGAAGACGAAGCTCATCATATAAACGAATTTTGTTTAATAATTCTAGAGGATGACCCTCGTCAGGATAGCCAACGATGTTGGACATGTGAAGTTCAACTTGTGAATAAGGCTCATCGAAAGACGAAACAAGTCATAGAGACAGGCATCATCGATGACGAGCCTCATCCAGCCAAAAAGACGCCATCTTTATGATGAGTCTGGAAGAAACTGTTCATCTTCCTCAAGAAACCCAAGTCTAAGATAGACAGGGTTGACATCCCTCAGAACGCAAATCATGCGTTTAAGATCTATTACCTGAAAAGGTGGGTAGAACACCAGGTTCGTGCGAAGAGCCAGCAACCTTCTTGCCCTTGCTCTTGCTTCGGTCTACAACAGTCTTAGGGGCCATTGATTTCTCTTGAAGGGTTTGCGAAGAAAGAAAGATTGGAATTTTGAGAAGAGGAGGAGTTTAGATAACCCAAATGACGAAGAGAGAAGAAAGGACTTCTCATATGATGATGCCCTATTTATAGGGGCGGGAAAAGGGTCGAATCAAGGGTCGCGATCTTCAATTAAGGTCGTTTGATGAGATCCCTCCCCAACAGTTAAGGTGTTATTTGTCAGATGTCCGTTATTCTGACAAGGCTCGTATAAAGGGACGAACTCCAGAACGAACCGCGAGGTAATGCTCATTTTTGTAGTAAACACGAAGTTCATGATAAAACCAGGTTCGTGAGATAAACTCCTCAAGTTCGAAATGCCTATTCAAAGTGTTTCAGACTACATACAACCCGATTCAAGTCTGAAAATTTTGAAGGGGGTTTTGTAGGCATTCAAAAATGCCAAAACTCAAAATGTGAAAAAGGAGGGTCAGGAAAATGAACCCCTTCTCAATCAGAAACAAGGTTCGTTGTTTAGAAAAGATCAACCTCAAGAACAAGAGTCGCCACGTAGCTGAGCTCAACATCAAAAGATAAAGTTCATTATTGAATAGAACAGATCTACGAGACTCGAAACTCGTCATTGGATACGAGGTTCGAGGTTCACTAGTGGATACGAGACTCGGAGCTCGTCATTGGATACGAGGTTCGAGGTTCATTGGTGAATACGGGGTTCGAAGCTCGTCATTGGACATGAGGTTCAAAACTCATTGCTTGACATGAAACTCATTAGTGAAGATGAGGCTCGTCAAAAGGGAACTTACAAGACTTACTACGTAGTTGGACTCAGCTGTCGAAGATAGAGTTCATTAGTGAAAGCGAGGTTAGTCAGACGAAGTCAGTGAAGACAATTCGTCAGGAGAAACTGGTCTACTGGAATGTTTGCTTGGTAAGACGAACCTCGAGGCTCGTCTTACTTGACAAACTCCGTTTCAATTGAGGTCGAAGTTCGTCATCCGCGTGGGATTTACCTATAATGGCTCCGAAGACTTAGTCAGCCACATGAGCTAATCTTTAGGAGCACGTTATGACGTGCGATGATTTGGAGGAGGTAGTTACGCCCCTCTACCAGTGATTGTAGCACGTCAGTTACGTGCTTAAACCCTATAAATAGCCATGGATGGCTATAGAGAAAGGGGTGTGGATTAATTGAGACTTTTAATCATCAGAAATCAGAGCTTTTGCTTGCAAATCCGGAGTTTGAATTTTGATTCCAGCCGGTTAACGAAGGTCAGATGCTCTTGTGATCTTGGTCTGATCGTCAACGGGAGGTTAGCTCGACTCAAGCATCGGGGGAAGCATCCTTTCGCCACCTAGAACCCACCTTAAACAAAAGAGAAGCTGAATTAATCTTTTCTTCCTCTGTAATCGAGAGATTGTGAGTGATATTAAGGGTTTCGTACCAAGTGATCGAACCCATTTCTTAAAACAAGAGAATCATTTAATCCTTAAATTTTTCGACCTTATAGTCGCCGTTTTCAACTTGGATCTCATCTCCAATCTCCTCTCCGATCTCATCTTCGAGCTTGTTGTCATTCTCGTCGTCAAGCTACTCTCCTTGGTTTCGTCGCCGTTTTCAGTCCTCGCATTTTCTCCTCCCTGTTTTCTAGGGTTTGCTCTAGAAATCGAGTCCATATCTCGCTAACGAGAGCTTTCTAGGGTTTGCTCCACCTATCTCTTCTCACGATATTTGATCAAATCAGGAGGTTCAATCTTTCGTACTGGAGATCGAAAAACCCCTTGATTTCAGTTATTTTTTTCGATGCCTTCGTTTTCTCTAATTGCAGTTGTTTTACCACGGACTTGTTCGATTCCGCGCTTGATTTAGGTCTTATGTAGATTTTGAGTGCTGATGTGTGGACGAGAAACACTAGTCCCAAGAATGTGAATGGATATTTTGATTTCTCAATTCACATTTGTAATTTTATTAGATTTTGGACCTGAATGTTTGTTTGGAGCTTATGCGTTTAAAATGAACCTGATATGGATTTATCTAGTTAAGTGCTTTTATGATATATTTTGTGTTCTGCATCATGATTGGGTGATTGTTAGGATTGGAGAATGAACTTCTAGTTATTACCACTAGTTTATCTTAGAAACTTTGGATCCTGTTGTTAATGCATCCTCATTTTCACTATTCATAACTTGTGAATACTGCAATGGTAGCTACTTAAACGAGTGATCTGTAGACAAATTCTCATTTTGTTTCTGTTGTATATCTTGAGTTCAGAAGTTAATTGTTTGGTGGAGATAACACCACTTCCGTTGAGAAAACCCTCCCTTTGTTCTGGGTATTATTTGCTTCTCAAATTTGTGATGTCCCCAATTTTTCTTTTAAATAAGCATACCCCTGTGATGTTGGATATGTGCCTTGGTTAGAACTCAAAACCATGTTTGATACATCTCCAATGTGATAAAGTATCTGATAAGAATCCAGGATTTTTGACCTTGCCTCCCATTTTTTAGTGCAAAGCTGTTAAATCCTCACTGAAATCACGGAAACCAGTAGCTTGGTATATATAGTCATCATTAAACTAAAATAGAGGAAAGAGCAACTATATTAACTACCGCTTCACTGTAAGGACATCATAAGCTGCCCACTTAAAGATCCAACAATTAAGCATCAGACTTTATTGCCAGCGTTACAAACAAGATACTCTGCAAACCTCTTCACATAATCATCATGAAGAGCTTGATCGCCAACCATAGCTCCCATTTCCCTTGCTTTTGCTCTTAGCGCCTCCCCCTCATCAGAGACCATCGCTACCCTCAAACACTTGGCAATCTCGTCTCTACTGAAAGATCCGTCCTCGTTCCTCCCGACCTCAATCCCGACTCCCTTCTCCGCGAGGAACCTAGCGTTCAAACCCTGGTCGAATATGAGCGGCATGAGCACGGGCATGTGCCCGTGCCTGAGCGACTCCACGATCGAGCCCAGCCCACAGTGGAATAGCGACCCGCCGATGGATTCATGGGCCAAGATCTCCAATTGCGGGGCCCAGCCCACTTCAACTATCCCCCGCCCATTTATTCTGTCCGTGAAGCCTTCGGGCAGTGCTTCGCTGATTTCGCCGGTGAGCCAGCTAGGCCACCTTAAGGCCCACAGGAAAGGGACGTCAGACATTTCCAGCCCGTGGGCTATCTCGCGGACCTCGTGCGGGCTGAATTTGTACTCGCTTCCGAAACTAACAAACACGACCGACCGGGCCTTCTGTTTATCCAGCCAACCGAAAGTTTCCCTCCACCCTCCCTCCTTGTCCTCCAAATCACCCGTCGGCGATGGCGGCAGGAGCCCGACGGGAATAACCGGCTTCTTGTAAAACCCCTCAAGCAACTCCAAATACTCTCCTTCATACTCATGACAACTCCTTATCGCAACCGCATCAGAACCCTCGACCCCGAGCTTCACCCGATCAACAGATCACCAGCATAGCACCCCGAACTACGCACGAAAACAACTCGGATAGAACTATCTCAGCCTTCGCGTCTCTTAAAACCGACCCCGAATCAAAACGCGATCCATTTCGGACTTTGTCCGTCAAGCTCTCCGCCGCAACCAGGTCCTTTTACGGGCCTCCGTCGGCCCAACTTCTCTGCCGGGCCGATAAAGCCATGGCTTGCGCGCGGAAAGTTAGTAAGCATAACGCGAACTTGATCCCAGTCTCCCTACGATGGGCCGGCCCAATGATGACGAAGTCGTAAATAATCGCAATCATGGATGACTCGTTAGGAACTGGCGGAGGGGGAGGAAGAGGAGGTCGTAGGCGGCTTTGAGGAGGTGCGTTTGGTCAGTGGGAGGTCGCGGGCGTAGTCGGCGGCAGCGAGGAGGAGGGAGCGGGTGAGTCCGACGAAGGAGAGTGGCCGGCGGGGAGTTTGGCGGCGCGAGGGGCGCGAAGGTTGGATGGGGTGGTAGGATGCAAGAGACACGGTGGCCGAAGTTTGCTAAAGGAGATGGAGAGCTGAGGGGGGATTAAGTGGCCCAAAGGCCAGCCATGGGAATATTCCTATGTGAAGGGTTTTTGTTGTAGTGTTGGTGTCGCGCATGAGGGTGGGGGGGGGGGGGGGGGATGGGGGGGGGGGATGGGGTAATGGAAGAGAGGGTGAAGGTGATTAGGTGTGGAGGAAAGGAGTGTAGTTATGAGGGCGAGTGGAGAAGCACGATGTTGGTTTGCACGAAGTGGATGATCCCTTCGGGGGACTCTGTTCTTCTTCTTGTGTGCGTGATGCCGCCGGTCTTCAGACGCCTGTTTTTAATAATTAATTAGTACTAAAACTTGGCTACGTCACTAATTATGATGCAGTTATATTTGAGGACAGGAGCAAATTAAAATGCTCGTCTCTATTACTCTTCAACTGTATATTTTCTACTTCAAATTAAATCCAGGGAAAATCAAGACGAATGTTCTATAAGTTTCAAAAACTGATTTCATTTCTCTAAAAAAAAAAAAAAAACTGATTTCATAGCTAAAATCTTAAAATTATAGCATTTTATAGCTGTTGAGTACCTCTCCTTCTTTTTCTTAGCTGTTGAGTACCTCTCTTTCTTTTTCTTTTTTTCCCTCTCTATGTATGTAAAAGAAAATCAGATATCACACTTCATTACGTTATTGACCATATTAGACAAAGGTAGCAGCCTAAGTTGACATGCGTAGTCATCAAACAGAGTGCTTGATAATTAATGTTTGTTTTTAAATGTAGAAGTACAGTTTGAGTTTAGCCTGAAGAATTACAGAGAAACAGGAAAAATCAGCAGAGAGTTGGGCGATCGACCGGCCCGGTCGACCGCAAACGTGCACCAAATCAGACTGGGAAGCAGAGAGTTGGGCGGTCGACCGACGCGGTCGACCGGAGCTGGTGGCGGTCGACCGGCGCGGTCGACCGAGGATGACTGTAGGATTTTCTGCTCTCGGGTTTGATGATTCGGTCGACCGGTGCGGTCGACCGCGAGACCTGCGCGGTCGACCGACGATGATCTGGGCTGGGCCTTTCGGTTTTTGACCCGTTTCATTTCTGAGTTGTATATAACTCAAATCCTGATTGTTTAGGGTTAAGGCAAGGACGAATTTGAGCATCCTTGGAGAGAGGATTGTTGCATTCAATTGTGGGAGAGATTTGAGAGATCAAGAGCTTTGTTTTAGGGTTTGGTCTGAGAGATTTGTAACTCTATTTATATTCTCTTGATTTCTAGTAGTAAAACTCCCCTAAGATTGATGTTCCGAAGTTCGATGGCAAGATCAATTTTGGATTGTGGAGGTGTCAGGTGATGGATGCTTTGGATGCACAGAATTTGGAGGAGACTCTTGAGTTAAAAGAGAAACCCGCTGAGTTGGAGGATAAGGTTTGGAGAAAGATGAACAGTAGAGCTTGTGGTGTTATTAGGTCATGCTTGACGCCGGATCTTATTTATGATGTTATGAACGAGACGTCGGCGAAGAAGATGTGGGAAACACTCAATGAGAAATATCTTACGAAGAGCATTGAGAATCGGCTTCACTTGAAGAAGAGATTTTACCAGTTCAAGATGAAGAGAGGGGTTTCCATCAGGGAGCATGTCAACAATTTCACTAAGCTACTTTCAGATATGGCCAATGTTGATATTATAGTTGAGGATGAAGACAAGGCGATGCTACTTCTGTGTTCGTTGCCCGAAGATGATTATGGTACGTTCGTTCTCACTATGATCAATGGAAGAACTACAGTTAGCTACAAGGAGGTGACCTCAGCTTTGGTGAACTATGAGTTGAGGAAGAGTGATGGTGAACCCTCCGAGAAGGCATCGGGAGATGCGTTAGCAGTTCGAGGCCGAGATCCAAACCGTCGTCAGTTCAACCGCTCAAAGTCAAAGAATAGGAGTGCCTATAAGAGTGTTGGTAGAAATCAATGTCGGTATTGTAAAGAAGAAGGACATTGGAAGATTGACTGCCCAAAGTGGAAAGAAAAAGCCGGAAAGAATAAGGGGAAAGCTGCACAAGCTTCAGAAGTGAATGTTGCAAAAGCTATTGGTGAGCATTCAGATTCAGATTCTTCAGGCTATTCATGCCCTGCTTTACCGTCGGTTTGCTATGCGGATTCCACGGAGTGGATGATGGATTCGGGAGCTACATATCACATCTGCCCTAAGAGGGAGTGGTTTTCTAGCTTTGAGGAGCTGGAAAGAGGGGATGTCGTGCTTATGGGTAATGATCACGTATGCCCTATTGGTGGTATTGGTTCAGTCCGGATCAGGATGCATGATGGTGTAGTGAGGGAATTGAAGGAAGTGAGGTTCGTGCCGCAGTTGACGAAGAACATCATTTCTCTTGGGACTTTGGAGGCAGCAGGATATCGAGTGATCTTAGAGGATGCTACAGTGAAGGTCACGAAGGGTTCTATGGTGGTGATGCGAGGTGTCAGGGAAAACTACCTATACTACTTGAAGGGCAAGACAGTTACAGGGGGTCTGGCAGCTTCTATCACTACAGAGGAGGACACTACCACCTTATGGCACATGAGACTTGGACACACAGGTGATAAGTCCCTACAGTCATTGGCAAAACATGGGCTATTGAAAGGTGCTAAGACCTGCAAGATGGAATTGTGTGAGCATTGTGTACTTGGGAAGAAGACTAGAGTGAAGTTCGGCACCGCTGTTCATAACACCCAAGGTACATTGGATTATATTCACACGGATGTTTGGGGTCCTTCCAAGAACACATCTCTTGGTGGGACCAACTATTTTATCACTTTCATTGATGATTATTCCAGGAGGAATTGGGTATACCCGATGAAGCATAAACATCAGGTCCTGGATATTTTTGTGGTGTGGAAGAAGAAAGTGGAGCTGCAGACAGGTAGAAAGGTGAAGACTCTACGTTCAGATAACGGTGGAGAGTACAAGAGTGATCCGTTTCTGCAGTTTTGCCGGGATCACAGCATTAAAAGACACTTCACAGTTCGAGAGATACCGCAACAGAACGGGGTGGCTGAGAGATTGAACCGTACCTTGCTGGAGAAGGTGCGGTGTATGATGACGCAGAGTTGCCTAGATCTTTTTGGGCCGAGGCAGTAGTTTATGCGAGCCATCTCGTGAACAGGTTGCCGTGCACTGCGATAGACGGGAAGACTCCTTTGGAGCGTTGGTTTGGTTCGGAGGCTAGTGACTATGAGTCGCTTCGGATATTCGGGTGTCCAGCTTATTATCATGTCAGTGATGGTAAATTAAATCCGAGAGCGAGGAAAGCAGTCTTTGTGGGATTTAGAGATGGAGTCAAAGGCTTCAAGTTATGGGATCCATAGGACAAGAAGATAGTCATTAGCAGAGATGTCACATTTGACGAGGCGTACATGATGAGGCCTCGAGCCCCTCAGCAGGTGGAGGGAGACCAGACAGGAGAGATATCGCAGCAGGTGGAGGATGATGTGACTCCACGCACTCCAGAGAGCACTATATCTATTGAGGCTCCTACAGAGGTAACACTGGAGGGAGATGAGATGACAGCCGGGCAGATACAGGATACAGTGGATCATGGGACTCATGAACAGGGTCATGTTCAGAGGTCCATTGCAGCAGATAGACCGAGGAGAGAGATTCGTCGGCCAGCTAAGTATAATGATGTCATGGTCGCATATGCATTATCAGTGGAGGTCGTTGATGATAGGGTCCCAGCCACATTCAGGGATGCAGAGTCTAGCCCCGATTCGATCAGGTGGAGGGAAGCTATGGAGGAAGAGATGCGGTCTCTTCAGAAGAACGATACTTGGACACTTGCACATCTACCTAAGGGTAAGAAAGCTATTGGTTGCAAGTGGGTATATGCGAAGAAGGAGGGATCTTCTATTGGGGACATTCGGTTCAAAGCCAGATTAGTTGCCAAGGGATATGCACAGCTTGAGGGCATTGATTACAACGAGGTATTTTCACCCGTTGTGAAGCATTCGTCGATTCGGATTTTATTGGCGTTGGTGGCACAGTTGGATTTGGATTTGGTCCAGATGGATGTGAAGACAGCCTTTCTACACGGTGATTTAGATGAGGAGATCTACATGACACAACCACAGGGTTTCAAAGCTGCAGGAAAGGAAAATTTGGTTTGTAAGCTGAAGAAGTCTCTTTATGGTTTGAAGCAGTCACCAAGACAGTGGTATAAGAGATTCGACGGCTTTATGATTGGCCGAGGGTACACGAGGAGCCCATATGACCCATGTGTTTATATGCACAAGCTACAGGATGGTGAGCTCATATATTTGCTTTTATATGTTGATGATATGCTTATTGCTTCCAGGAATTCTTCAGCTATTCGAAAGCTGAAAGAGGAGTTATCATCCGAGTTTGAGATGAAGGATCTTGGAGAGGCAAAGAAGATATTGGGTATGGAGATCGAGCGAGACAGGGTGAAGGGGAAATTGAAGCTTACACAGAAGAGCTACTTGCAGAAGATGTTG